GAAAACAAACGTGCTTGCAGTGGACGACTTTTAATGTAATTCACCATTCTGACAGCATCGTCTAAAACGGTCTTTAAATCCATGGGCATTCTCTTAGCGGCTAATGCCTCTCTGTGAATGCAGCAATGTACGTGAGTGAGCAGCGGGGCCACGTCTCTGACTCGCTTCACCACTCCACTGTGTCGGCCCAGCATAGCGCGAGCACCGTCGGTGCTGAGTCCAACGCACTTTGTCCAGTTGATGTCACTGGAAATTATGAAGTCGTTCAGAATGTCAAAAATAGCTTCAGCAGTTGCTTTTGAATGTAGAGGTCTGCAAAAAAGAAAGTTTTCCTCAATTTCTCCATCACATTCATACCTAACGAATGCGAGCAAATTCGCCATACCCGCGATGTCTGTGGACTCATCGATTTGAATTGAATAAAAACGACTCGCTCGAGCTCTGCAAATTAGCTGCTGGAACACATTCTCGGCCATATCATTAATTCGGCGCTTAACCGTGTTGTTTGATAAAGAAATCAAGTTAAGTTGCTTAACTGCATTGTTTCCCAGCATTATGCTGACCATCTGCTTAGCGGCTGGTAAAATCAAGTCTTCACCTATGGTGTGGGGCTTTCCAGATGTAGCTATCAGTCTTGATACCTCATATGATGCTGTCACTGCCTTTTCATTTTCGCCACCCGTCACACAGGTTGACTCGATCACTTTTTTACATTGCTGGTAATCTTTCAATTTATTTTCAAAAAATTCTCGAGGCTTGCTGGCAAACGACCCATGTTTTGTTTCGAGGTGACGGCGTAACTTGCATGGTTTCAGTGCCTCATTAGAAAGGGTCTCTGAGCATAGCACACAGACAGGCGTGGGGTTGTCAGCAGGACCAACACTCGTAAATCCGAAGGACAAGTACTCCTCACTGTACTTACACGAGTCTTTCATTTACTTAAAGTGCAGTTAGGCTCAGTTGATGAGGATGGATTGTCATCCTCTGCTCCTCTTTTACCGAGCAGCCACCGTCGCATTTTTGAATTGACGGTTAATTGTGACTGAATTCCTACTAAGCAACCAACGTCAGTTTGAAAATAAGCAATGTATCTCACCTCGCTATAATGGGAAAAAAATGTTTTTGTGTTTTTAATTTGTGTAAAAAGAGGTTCTAATCACATTTTAGAACAATTAGAATATTTTAATTATTTTAATATTTTGATTTAGCCTAGCCACGGCCCCCCTGTAATACCGCTACGGCCCACCAGGGGGCCGCGGCCCACAGTTTGGGAAGCACTGCTAGTGTATTATAAAATTAGAACAATTAGAATATTTTAATTATTTTAATATTTTGATTTAGCCTAGCCACGGCCCCCCCCCTGTAATACCGCTACGGCCCACTGGGGGGCCGCGGCCCACAGTTTGGGAAGCACTGCTAGTGTATTATAAATACAGGCTTCAGAGAAAGTGTTACCGGATTGACAAACAATTGATTTAATTCTCCCTCCTTCTCTCTCTCTTTTTTAATCTCTCTCAGGAGTTGAAGCCTACAGCCTTTCTGTCCATGCAGCAACTGATGGAAAAGGGGGTCTTTTTTATGATGTTGTATTATGTGTTATTGCAAAAATGAGTATATACAGTATATAAATATGCATTCTTGAATCATTCTTGAGTCTTGTGTCTTGCCTCTCTACAAACTTTTAAATACCTGGCTGTTATTTAGTGACTGCAAATGCTGATTTAATTTGATTCCATCTTTATTATACCTGATAGTTAAAGCTAGTTAAACTTAAGGAGGCTAATCAATATACAGTATATTTCAAGAAACTAAGACTTAAGGTACTCCACTTTTTCAGTTGTTTAAAGACTGAAATTTTCATTTATATTTTAAGTGTAAATTCATTTAAATTTAAAATGGTTAACTCAAAGCAGGTATTACACACTTTGTAATTAACATCTGATGCATTTATAAATCAAAAATCACAATTGAAATAAAAAAAAATGTTCCTGAGATTCAATATCTTTAACAACATGTACAAACATTACTACAAACTAAACCACCAGGGTCCCAGAAATGCGGTGCTGAAAAATACAAAATAATAGAACTGCGGTCCTAGAACTGTAGCCTCCGGTTGTGCAGGAACACCCTTCTCAACTAGTTTGACTTCTTAGCTCTAGTCAATTACAGAAAATAATCATATGATAATCATTATGGTAATTTGTGTTTCCAATCCATTAATTTAAAAGACTTTATATACTATTATATCAACAGTTCCAATGTATCAATGGCATATAATCAACTTTTGCTGTATCTTTTGACATATAAACTTTGACATATAAGAGTTCAATGTTCTATAACAGGGGTGTCCAAACTTTTCCTAAAGGGGGCCGGATTCGACGATGTGGAAACACTGGGGGGCCGGATGCTTTCACCTATGTATATATATATATATTATGTATGTACGTGTGATGTTGAGTTGATAGTAGCAGTAGCTTGTGTTTTGTTGAGGACAAAACTTTTGACATATAAACTTTGACATATAAGAGTTCAATGTTCTATAACAGGGGTGTCCAAACTTTTCCTAAAGGGGGCCGGATTCGACGATGTGGAAACACTGGGGGGCCGGATGCTTTCACCTATGTATATATATATATTATGTATGTACGTGTGATGTTGAGTTGATAGTAGCAGTAGCTTGTGTTTTGTTGAGGATAAAATCTGCAAATATTTCATTTTTAAAGCTTTTATAATTATAACATAGAATGGCTTTATGGTGTTTAATCTAGTAACTCATGAAAGCACAAACTGCATCAAAAATGTCTGTAATTGGGCCTATATTTCATAACTCCCTTACATTACATTAAATTGGCCTATACGTCTACATTAATTATATAAGAAGATTCTGTATAAATATGCAACATTTCTGCCACAATACCACAGTTAAGGTTACTACAGTAAATCAAAATGTTGGTGATTTGTGGATTGAAAAGTATTCTTACTGCATTGTTGTCGCACAATGTTTCTCCTATTTTCCGCGTTAGTGTTGTTGAGAATGTCAGCGCTGTTTCATCTGCCTTTGACATATGTGGTTTGTATGGAAACCTCTACTCCAAACTCAAACGCTTCTCACAGCGCTGTTTAGTGGTCTCGTGACTGAGATCAGTCAGCGCGTAAACGCATTTGTTCTGAGCTCGCGCTGCGCTGTCTTTAGGCAGAGCTAAAAACGGTCCGTGCAGCGCGGTTCAAACGAGTCTTGCTCTTCCGCTTTTGACGCGTTTAGGAATTCGCGTGCGCTAAAGAAATGAGAGCACATATGAGTTATAAAATTTATATCACTCGCGTTTTACTGCTACATCTAGTTTAAAATTTAGTGCTGCCATCTTGTGTTGACATTTTGAAACTGCATAGGCCTATTTTTTTAATTATGCTTGGTGGGCCATATATAATATAGACTATTAGACAGCTGCGGGCCGCTTAACATTCATCCACGGGCCGTAGTTTGGACACCCCTGTTCTATAAAAACCTCCTCATTACAAGAAAAGTATCTATTGAAACTGTTAAATCAGGAATGAAGAGACGGAGAGTCCGAGGTGGAGATGAAGAGTCTTTTATTAATGTCGTTTACTAGTAAAGTGTCAGATGAGAAGTGGCAAAGTGGCCCAGAACACAGAAATCACAATTACATAAATCTTCCCCTCTGCCTGCTCAAGCATTGGCATACGTCCTAGTTCCCGGGGGCACCATGTACTTGGTTATCAGTTCTTAACAGAAACATGGAGGTAGTTCAGCCTTGCATATAAAACTATAATTATGTTACACAGTATGAGAAGAATAAAGACTGAAAATATTAAAAGTATATATGATCTCACTAAATCAACCTGCAAAAATGACTTTATCAGAAAAGCAAGAAAGTGGGCAAAAACAGGACAACATTAATGGGCACTTACACAAAATTTCACATGTTAAGGGAAACCGACAAAATAAATAAAATGCAAGTACAGTACATACAGAGGAAATCAGATTATACATCAAACTATTGTGTATAATGAACAATTGTTTCTACAATCGAGGTTGTAGGTGCAATAGAGGTTGAGAAAAGCACCTATACACATCGTCACTCAGCTGGACTCGCACACACTGATCCTACTGTCTATATGAGGATTTCTGACACATTTATTCTGAGTGTTATTTCAGTGACAGAAGTTGAGCTGCAGTATTAATGTCATGAAGAGACTCTATAACATCTCACTGTCACTGATTTATCATGCAGCTCAAAGCATTATGGGTAGAATCTCTCCTCAGTCTCTGGTTCATCAACACAGTTTCACTGATGATTCATAATAAACTCTAAACCCAGGATAGAGGGGCTGAGTGAATGTGGTCTGGACTGTGTGGATGAGGCTCATTGTGTCAGAGACGCTGTAGAAGGACAGAGTTCCTGCACTGTGATCCACAAACACTCCTAATCTACTGATGATGGACTCTACAGGGAAATCAGTCCCTATATTATTGTGTAGGAATGAACAACTGGAGCGAGTGCAGAACAAACTCCAGGACTGATCATTAAGTCCAAACACACACTCTTTACTCCGTCCCTTCCTGCTGATGCTCTTATATGACACTGATATAAACACATATCCACCTCAAAGCATTATGGGTAGAATCTCTCCTCAGTCTCTGGTTCATCAACACAGTTTCACTGATGATTCATAATAAACTCTAAACCCAGGATAGAGGGGCTGAGTGAATGTGGTCTGGACTGTGTGGATGAGGCTCATTGTGTCAGAGACGCTGTAGAAGGACAGAGTTCCTGCACTGTGATCCACAAACACTCCTATTCTACTGATGATGGACTCTACAGGGAAATCAGTCCCTATATTATTGTGTAGGAATGAACAACTGGAGCGAGTGCAGAACAAACTCCAGGACTGATCATTACATCCAAACACACACTCTTTACTCCGTCCCTTCCTGCTGATGCTCTTATATGAGACTGTTATTAACACAGCACTATCTCCACTCCACTCAATCTCCCAGTAACAGCGTCCACACACACTCTCTCTACACAACACCTGAGACACATCATCAAATCTGTCTGGATGATCAGGATACGGCTGTTCTGTGTCAGTGTAAGTAATCTCTCTGTTGCTCTCAGACAGACAGAGGTTTTTATTCACTATGTTTGGATCCAGAGTGAACTGATGGGAATCTATTGGGGGGGAAAACACATCAGAATCAAGAGTTATGAGTATGTCTGATCTTTTTATGGGGTGGGGCTTGTTTTTTAGTGACTTACACTGTAGGAAGTCATTCCTGGTCCTGGGAACAATGTTGGTGAATGTGACTGTGGAAATCAACAGACAAATGATCCTGCATCCATTCCTAAGACATTTCTAATATGATGTTCTACATGATATTAAATGATGATGGACTCAATTCTGAGAGCAGATGAATCTCCGGTTCTTTACCTCTGTCTGAGATCTTTCTGATCTCCTCTTTGCTGTAATCCTCCAGTTTGTCTCTCAGCTGACGAACAAATTCTCTGAGGCCATCAAAAGAGAAGAGAGAACTGAAGGGATTGTGTTTCATGTCTGTGGATTCAGGAAGTTCTGAGGTAGACTGGAAAACGACAGAAATCAAAGGTAATCACATCCACAATTCACCCAATGACCTTCACTACTGTCAGATTTGTGTGGCTCTGGTTGACTTGAATTATCTTTAGTGACACACCTCTATCAAGCAGTTTCACAGCATCAGCTAGATTATTCTCATATAAAATTAGACCTACAAATTCTAGTATTTTCCACTTAAACTATATGCGAAATAGTTTGGATGATAGAACATCTGCTAAGAACATAAATGTCTATCTAAAGGCCCAGGTATACTTCTGTTTCCATGTTCCGTGCACTGCTGTGTTTGCACAGCTTTCAGTTGATTGTGGATTTGTTTTCAGTTAATGGATGGAACATTGAAGCACACCTCCCATCCAATAAATCGCAATAAGCATTGTGCGTTGGTACTTGAAACAAAGCCTCAGATTTCAATTTATGCCCATTGTATTGCAGTATTCAAACAATAAATGCCGTTTTGGCACTGTTTAATCTGGAGTGACAGATCGCTGTAGCGCCTCAGTTCAACAGATGCAGCAGCATGAGGCGCACATGAACTGATCATCTCCTCCACATTAATACCAGTTTCAGCACAAAATAAACATGACTAAACATCCAAAGGTAAGTTAAAAGAAAGAGTACAACTTTACAATCCGTATCCTGTCTCATGTAATCGCTCAATCAGTGTTTCAGCCGCGCAAAGTTGTCAATAAAACAGGTTGTAAACAATTAATGTAACGTCAAATTTACCTCAGAAAGCATATTCGGTGACCATAAACTCGTTAGTCTATCTATCTATCTATCTATCCATCCAATAAGTATCGCTTTTTATTTCTCCTCTTTCCTACTACTTGTTTCACTTCTGTTTCAGTTTTTATAACAATTTCTTACTATGTGTAAGTAAGTTGTGTTTTTTTAGCATGTGTGTTTGGCAGTGTTATTTTTTAGGATTACTGATAAACTATTCATACTCATTTGATTTGTATTTGTTATTTATTTTAATTTAGGTTAAATTATGTCTGAATTTATTATGTCTGTATAGGTCTTTTATTACGTTTTTAGTTTTATTTAATTTGAGTTATTTTAATACTTCAACAAACTAAATGGAAATGAAATAATATATATATTGAATTTATAAATGTGTATGTATACATATATATACACATGTATGTATGTGTGTGTGGTTGTACATACACATATGTAGTTGTTTTTTGGTGTTTGGCTTAGTGTTATGTTAAAATCATTATTATACTCTTATACCTTTTTAGTTCTTTACTATTTTGAATTGTTTTTAGCTTTATTTTTTGTTTTTTTCATTTAAATGTTAAGTCTATTTCATTTAAATGTTAAGTTTTGAAATTTTGTTATTGTTATTTTTAAAATGTGTATAGGTAGAATTTATAAAGTTTTAGCTTTTAGTTTTGGGTCTGTTTTTAGTTGTTTTAATACTACAATTGATTGCTTCTGTTTTCCTCATTTGTAAGTCGCTTTGGATAAAAGCGTCTGATAAATGACTAAATAAATAAATAAATAGAGAGGGGCATTTTGCTAAATATATGCACCATATAACATTCATTATAATTTTTACTGTTCTTTAATGTTTTATTTATGTTTGAATAAATCCATCCAAGTTTTTATGACAGCCACTATTAAAATGTGTATATTTAAAAAAAAAACTGAAGTAATTGTAACCTAATTATTATAAAAACTTCATTAAGTGTAATTTAAGCAGTTGTACAGCACAAATCAGTCAATTTTAACCTTCAATATTATAATGTATTACCAACTGACTCTCGTGTATATTTTACAGCATTAGCGGAGAGATTTTTTTTCCTTAAGAAAATTTGGCATGTACTGTACCTGATATATATCCAAAATAATCAATATTGAATCGAATCGAATTGGTAATCAAATCGCAAGCTTGTGAATGAGAATCGAATCGAATCGTGAAATTTGTGTCAAAACCCAGCCCTAGTAGTTTGCTCAGGAAAAGCAGTTCAAAGGCTACGATTAGATCATTATTTATAACTTTAACCAGTGTTTCAAGTTTCAGTGTCACTACTTCACAAGGACCCTTAAGACATGGCCAGGTTTTGTTTTGTTTCAATACACATTGCTACTATATGGTCTCACTTCATTTTTATTGTTTTCGTGCACAAATGCCTCAACAAGTTACAGGCAAATAACAATAAATTTGATCAGGTTGGAAGATCACCTGATCTAATTTTGAAGAATGTTACTCAAAATTGGTACTATCGAGTTCACTGATTTCTCAATGATACAAGAGATCAAAATTAAATATTATAGTCCAGGTGATATGTGCAAAATTTAAGGGTAATATGTTCACTTTTTCATAAAAGCATGAAACCTGGTACAATTGTACAGTTTGAGGCCCTGAACATTTTCAGAAAAGGAGCCATCTCAAAAATGCCTTGTGGTTGCCATGGTGGCCATGTTACTTTCCGCCATATCCAAATTAAGTATTTTGTTATATCTCCTAAAATCAAAAAGGGGATGTCTACCCATATATTTTGATAATTGACCAATATTTTATTCAGTAATACAACAAAGCATTGTTTTCAATAATACGATCATATATTAAAGAGATATAAAAAAAAAAACTCAGGTAAGTATATCTTTACTAATCTCTCAGGTAGAGTCACTGCTATTTTTCTTCTTTCATTATAATTTGTATTTTGATTGCACATATTTGTAATTAGAATAATAGTCGTTGGCTAAGAAGAAGCTTTTGCTTGTTTACTGCACTTAAGTGGTGAACTGTAGTTTCGATTTGAGCCATTTGCGTGCTATAGGCTTTTGGTGTGCTAATTGTCAAGGGGTCCACAGCTGTATTCACTCAAGAGTTGATAAGCTGTGCATATATTTGTTATCTGTGCACTAATGTGGAATATTTGTGACTCTACCTGTGCGACTCCACTGAAAAAGGACACCGACAAGGCACTTAAGTATAATTTATTTTCCTTTCCGCACACACTCTCCTTACACCTTCTTTTTCCCACATCTATCTTGTGTTTCCAATACATTCCTGTTTTCTCTTAACAACGGTCCAACATCAAACGCAGACAGCAATGCAATCTTGCTAACCTTCGTCCTATCTAAACCTCTTCTACTGCACCTGTCTCTTTTTTTCTGTGGGTCTCTGGAATTGTCAGTCAGCTGTCAACAATGGCTTCATTCCAGCCATTGCTTCTCAGTCTACTCTTAGTATCTCGGGCTTGAATGTACGGTGGCCGAGAGAGCTCAACGTGCTGCAACTTAAGAAAACGCATGCAAATTGAAAAAACACCAGCAAATTAAGAAAACATCTTCATCAGTTTGACAACACACGCGCTGCAAATCCTCACAACACATGCAAATGAAGAAACGCGCTGCAAATCCTCACAACACATGCAAATGAAGAAACGCGCTGCAAATCCTCACAACACATGCAAATGAAGAAACGCGCTGCAAATCCTCACAACACATGCAAATGAAGAAACGCGCTGCAAATCCTCACAACACATGCAAATGAAGAAACGCGCTGCAAATCCTCACAACACATGCAAATGAAGAAACAC